CGGGATTCGGGATTCGGGATCTGCGGGATTCGGGAGCTGCGGGATTCCGGGATTCGGGATTCGGGATCTGTGGGATTCCGGGATTCGGGATTCGGGATCTGTGGGATTCCGGGATTCAGGATTCGGGATCTGCGGGATTCGGGATCTGCGGGATTCGGGAGCTGCGGGAAGCTCTGGGATCTGTGTGAGGCTGCGGGGATGCTGAGGAAAACTGCGGGATCTCTGGGAAGCTGCGGGAAGCTGCGGGATCTCTGGGATGCTCGAGAAGCTGCGGGATACTCTGGGAAGCTGCGGGATGCTCGGGAAGGTGCGGGATCTCTGGGAAGCTGCGGGATACTCTGGGAAGCTGCGGGATCTCTGGGAAGCTGCGGGATACTCTGGGAAGCTGCGGGATCTCTGGGAAGCTGCGGGATCTCTGGGAAGCTGCGGGAAGCTGCGGGATCTCTGGGAAGCTGCGGGATCTCTGGGAAGCTGCGGGATGCTCGGGACGCTCGGGAAGCTGCGGGATCTCTGGGAAGCTGCGGGAAGCTGCGGGATCTCTGGGAAGCTGCGGGATCTCTGGGAAGCTGCGGGAAGCTGCGGGATGCTGCGGGATCTCTGGGAAGCTGCGGGATCTCTGGGAAGCTGCGGGATGCTCGGGATGCTCGGGAAGCTGCGGGAAGGTGCGGGAAGCTGCGGGAAGCTGCGGGATGCTCGGGAAGCTGCGGGAAGGCGCGGGATGCTCGGGAAGCTGCGGGATGCTCGGGATGCTCGGGAAGCTGCGGGATGCTCGGGAAGCTGCGGGATACTCTGGGAAGGTGCGGGAAGGCGCGGGGTGCCGCGGGCTCGGTGCGAGGCTCCCGGGATACTCTGGGAAGCTGCGGGAAGGCGCGGGGCGCCGCGGGCTCGGTGCGAGGCTCCCCGCGCTCCTCCAGCCCTAAAGATGGAGCTGCTCGGCGCCGGGGCCGCTCCCCGCGCTCCTCTCCCTTCTCCTTCCCCTTTTCCTGCGCATCCATGTGGTTCTGTTTTGTATTGTCCCGCTCGCCCGCGCTCCCGCTGCCGGGCCATTCGGTGGGTGGGATCTCAGCAGGGAAAAAGGGAAAAGGGGGGAGAGGGGAAAAAAAAAAAATAACAACCGA